TAAACATAATGCCACAAAACCCCCCTTGTAGTAGCAGAAAATGTCTTCAGAGCATCATGGTGGGGACAAGAGGCCATTAATTGAATCAAATCATCACTTTAAAATATATGCAAAAAAAATAATTTATCTCAACAAAAATAATTCCCACAAAATAAAAATGGAAATCCTGAAAATTGGATAGCATTTAATGGTGCTGTGTAGAAAATGGAGTTTATAAGAAAAATGAACTAAATGGGGTTTGCCAGGAATATTTTTTTCCAGGCAAATGTAGATATTAGATGTCTCAGTATGATGTTTGCATTCATAAATGGCCTATATGTCTATAGGGTCAAAATATCCCATGTATCCTTGCTTTGTTCACCTTCCCATTATTCTTGGAGCAAAGTCACCAACCTCTTGCAGCATCAGCAGTGTCAGGTCACTAGGCATAGAACTGTGAGGCTCACATCCCATTGACAAAACTGACACTACTACCCTCAGCTTAGGAGTGCTGTTTGGTGAAACCAGAGTTCCTGAGTTTCCTAGCTGCTGCTTAACTGTCATCCCTCTGCCTAGCACCCTCCTTTCTCCCTACACTTCATCTCAGTCTACACCAGCCTCTTCCTACTTCCCCTCTGTCCCCACATGCAGGTTGTGGCCACCACAGTGATGCTGGAGCGGAAGTTGCCTCGCTGCCTGTGGCCTCGCTCGGGGATCTTTGGGGGAGATTACGGGCTGGGGGACCGCTGGTTCCTCCGGTGAGTGACAGTGAGGGGCTGGGTGTTCTTGTGATCTCAGGGGTCCTGTGCCCTTTTAGTCCCAATGGCCTGGCTGCTGAGGGGCTGGGACCACCTGGCACACCAGCAGCAGCCAAGGAAAAGGCCCATCATGGCGGGGTGGGATGTGCACAGGAGACGAGCAGGTCTAGCCTGTGGCCCGTGGCCACCTCCCAAGTCATCTATCCTCCCCAGGGTGGAAGACAAGCAGGACCTCTACCAGCAGCGAGTCCGGCGCTATGCACGGGCCTTCTACAACCGGGGATCCGATGACTTGGACAAGGACTCAGAAAAACTCCAACCACATCACCCCTCTGGCCCCAACTTGTCCCTTCCTACCCCCTCAGTGTCTCGAAGCACTTCCCGCAGCAGCACCAACTGGGAGAAACTTCGGCA